GATTTTTGAGTAGAGATAAATATAGTCAAGAAAACATAGGCTACAGGGAATGACAAGTCAACATTTGCCTACCTTGTGCCAATCTCTATTGTAAACCCCTAGATTCCCAAACTCATTTGATAATAAGAATCGCCTGGTGTGCTCGTTAAACATATAGATTTCTAAGCCCCTTCCCTTAGTTTGATAGGACCCAAGATTCAGTAGGTTCAACTAACACTCTGGATAATTGTCATCAGGCAAGTTTGAGAGACATTGCAGAATAGGATGCAAAAATGAATGCGACATAACCCCTTCTCAGGGAACAGTGCAAGACTGAAAGCAAATTGGTGCACAAAAGTGCATTTAAAGAGAGGTACCAACAGATAGAGAAGACATGAAAATCACTGGGGGAATTAAGGAATGCTTCCTGGAAGAAATGATACATGAGCAAGTTCTCAAAGGTTGGCTAGAATCTCATGGAGCAAGATAGGGAAAGAATCTCAGAGGGATGGTAATAGCTGGAATTTCTCAGGTAACTGTTAAGTGCCAGACATTGTGCTAAGCACTTTATTTGCTTTGTTTTATTTAATCCCCACAACAATATTATGAAGGAGAAGCTATTGTTGTCCCTAATTTACAAATGAGGAAAGCCAGGTTTTGGTTATCACACTGCCCAAGCTCATACAGCTTATGTGTGCAGAACTGGGTAGAAAGGAGGCAGCTGACTCCATCTCCCACGCTCTTTACCACTACCCTGTTCCATCTCCCAGGGGACATGAGACTTAGAGATGTGAAAGTGCTGTGACATTTTTTCAAATGCCAGCAGTTTTGTCCAAATGACAGGAGGAAGTGACCATGGAGCAATATGGGCTGGAGGAAGATAACTGCATGAAATATTGGAACCTGGCAGTGGTTTCCTGGTGCCAAACTCATTTGTTTTGTAAATGAAGAAAAAGAGCCCCAGAGAGGTCATATGATTTGCCTAAAGTCACTTGGCTCAATAGTGGGAAAATGTACTAAAAGTCTAAATCCCAAACAGTACCCTTTCCATTATGGACAATTGGAGATTGTCCAATACCAGATAAGCGTTGGTGGATATCTTGCTAAGGTCTGAGGTCTGACCTATTCTATAGGAGAGATATACAGTTATGTGCTGCATAATGATGTTTTGATCAAAGAAGGACCACATATATGATGATGATCCCATAATTTTATAATACCATTTTTTCCTGTACGTTTTCTATACTTAGATATGCAAATACTTACCATTGTGTTACAATTACCTGTAGCATGCTGTACAGGTTTGTAGTCTAGGAGCAATGGACTATACCATATAGCCTAAGTGTGTAGTAGTCTATACCATTTAGGTTTGTGTAAGTATACTCCATGATATTTGCATAAAAATTGCTTAATGATGCCTTTCTCAGAATGTACCCCTGTCATTAAGTGATGTATAGCTGTCTATGTAAAATATATATAACTTGAAATTTATCATTTTAACCATTTTAAATGTACAATTCAGTGGCATTAGTGTATTCACAATGTTGTGCAACCATCACCACTGTACATTTCCAGGACTTTTAAAAAACCACCCCAAATAGAAACTCTGAATCAATTAAACAATAACCTACAATAACCGACCAATAACCTACCATATCCTACCAATAACCTACCATACAATAACCTACCAATAACCTACCATATCCTCTGCCCCCAGCCCCTGGTACCTTATATATGTGGAACCATACAATATTTGTGTTTTTGTAACTGGCTTATTTCACTTAGCATGGTGTTTTCAAGATTCACCCATGTTATAGCATGTACCAGTACTTCATTTCTTTGTTCCTCATTTTTTAATGTGTTAAAATACACATAACATAAAATTTACCATCTTAACCATTTTTAAGTATACAGTTTAGTGGTGTTAAGTACATTCAGATTGTTATGCAACCATCACCACCGTCCCTCTCCAGAACTCTTTTCATTTTGCAAAACTGAAATTCTGTTTCCATTAAATAATAACTCCTCATTCCTCCCTTCCCCCGGCCCCTGGCAACCACCATTCTACTTTTTGTCTGTATGAATTTGACTGCTCTAGGTTCCTCATATAAGTGGAATCATACAGTCTTTATCCTTTTGTGACTGGCATATTTCACTTAGTATAATGTCCTCCAGGTTCATCCATGTGGTAGCATGCCTCAGAATTTTCTTTTGTTTTGAGACTGAATAATATTCCATTGTTTGTTTATATACACACGTATGCATGCAAAGGGTCTTCAAAAGTTTGTGGAACAGGCATATTATGCAAAACTATGCATGGATTTAAAAATCTTTTTCCATAATAAAGTAAACTTGCACTAACTTCTTATAACATGTCTGAACAGGATCTAGTTTTAGGCACTAAGAAGGATAAGACATCAGTTTGAAAAAAGAGCCCCTAATAGAGCAACATGAATTCTGATAAAATTGAAACAGGAACAAACACCAAATTTATGGTGGAGCTTGGGTAGAAGAATGGTGAAATCACTGATTCTTTATTTAAAGTTTATTGGACAATGCCCCAGAGAAATCAGCAGTTTACAAATGGAAAACTCATTTTAAGAAGGAATGAGACAATGTTAAATATGAAGCCCACAGTGGCAGACCATCCACATAAATTTGTGAGGAAAAAATTAGTCTTGTTCATGTTCTAATTGAGAAGCACTGATGATTAACAGTAGAAACAATAGCCAACATCATAGACATCTTTACTCATTCTGTTTACACAATTCTGACTAAAAACTTAAATTTGAGCAAAATTTCCACTTGATGGGTGCCAAAACCATTGTGCCCAGATCAGCTGCAGAAAGAGCAGAATTTCACTGGAAATTTTGAACAAGTGGGACCAAGATCCTAAACCATTTCTTTGACAAATTGTAACAAGAGATGAAACATGGCTTTACCAGTATGATCCTGAAGACAAAGCACAATCCAAGCAATGGCTACCAAGGGGTGGAAGTGATCTACTCAAAGCAAACACAGACCGATAAAGCACAAAGGTCATGGCAACAGTTATTCGGGATACCCAAGGCATTTTGCTTCTTAATTTTGTGGAGGACCAAAGAATAATAACATCTGCTTATTATGAGAGTATTTTGAAATAGTTAGCCAAAGCTTTAGCAGAAAAACAACAGGGGAAGCTTCACCAGAGAAAATCCTTCTCCACTATGCCAAAGTCTCTGCACACTCCTCTCAACAAATAAGGGCAATTTTCAGAGAGTTTTAATGGGGTTTCACTAGGCATGCTCCTTACAGTCCTGATTTGGTTTCTTAGACTTCTTTTTGTCTTTTAATCTTAAAAAATCTTTAAAAGGTACCTATATTCTCCAGTTAATAATGTAAAAAAGACTGCATTGCTATGGTTAAATTCCCAGTTCATCCTTCAGTTCTTAGGGATGAACTAAACGGCTGGTGTCATCACTTGCAAAAGTGTCATGAACCTGATGGTGCTTATGTTGAAAAACAAAACTTATATTATAAATTTTTACCTTTTAATTCCATTTTCCATGGACTTGTTGAAGCCCTCTAGAGTGTGTGTGTGTGTGTGTGTGTGTGTGTTATTCAACACATCTTGTTTATTCATTCACCCACTGGTAGACACTTGAGTTGCTTCTGTGTTGTAGCTATTAGGAATAATGCTACTATGAACATGGATGTACAAACATATCTTTGCGACCCTAGTTGCAATTTGGGGTATACACTCTGAAGTGGAAATGGTAGTTCATATGGTACTTTTATTTATTATTTTTTGAGAAAACACCATACTGTTTTCCACAGTGGCTGCACCATTTTACTTTCTTACTAACAGTGCACAAGGGTTGTAATTTCTTCACGTTTTCACTAATACTTGTTATACTTCATTTCTTCTTAAGGAAGAACAATAGTCTACTGCATGTATATTACCATTTGTATTTTGTTTATCCATTCATAGAGGTTTGGGTTGTTTCTGCCTTTTGGCTATTGTGACTAATGCTGCTATGAACATTGGTGGACACGTGTTCCTGCTTTCAACTTTTTGGGGGTTATATACCTTGAAGTGGGATTGCTGAACCATGTGCTAATTCCATGTTTCACCTTCAGAGGAACCTGCAGGCTTCTGCAGGAGGAGTGCGCTCTGTGAGTGCGCTCTGTGCCCAGCTCTGGCCATCCTGGCCTTTTGAACAGATACCCCTGGGCCAGGAACCCTTCCTCTGTCCAGTGTGCTTGCCCTCCCGCCCGCCGCCCTCTTTGCTCACCAGAAAGCAGTTCTCTGAGCCTCTTTCACGCAAAGGTGCAGGCAGCTGACAAGGAAGGTGGCCCTGGTGTCCAGCTGGGTCGCCCGCGGGGACGAGGTGTGGGCGGGTCCCAGCGCGTCCCGGGAGGGCGGCGTTGTGAGCAGCGGGGCAGGTCCTTCGCAAGCTCCCCGCTGAGCCGGGCCGTGTCCGCCCACTCCGGCGGCGGCGAGGGCCGGCAGCGGGAAGCGCCGCGGGGTCCCGGTGCCCTGGGGCGGGCACAGCGTGCCGCCTGGGTACCGCCAGCGCCGGGGGCCGCAGAGCCCCGCTCCGAGCGCGAGCGCCCTCGTTCCCGCCCGAGGCGGCGGTTCCGGAGCCCGAGCGGGGAGCGCGCCGCCCGCCTGGCTCCCTCCCGCGTGCTCTGGCCGCCAGCTGCCACCTCCGCGCCCCCGACGCTCCGGCCCGGGCGATCCCCAGGTCCCCCAGCCGCGCGCGGCCCCGGGCAGCCCCCGACGTGCCCCTGCTTCGAGCCCAGACCCGGCGCCCCCGGCAGCCTCGCGGACCCGGCCCGAGCACACCTTCCCCGAGCGCCGGCCGCCCCACGGCCACCGGGGCAGGAACAGCGAGTCCCGCGGGTGGCCTCGCCGCCGCGGAGCCGCAGCTCTCGGGATCAGCGGCAGCGCGAGCGTAACTCCCGCCAGAGCCGGGAAACAGCCCCAAGCAGAGGAGGCAGACGGCCAGGACCTGTCTTTCGCCTGCGGGCTTCTGGAGACGACGTCCCTGAGCCTGGCCGGGGAATAAAGAAACCCGGACCTGTCCGCTGGGCGCCGGGATGCCGCAGGTACTGAGCGCGCCCTCCCGGGATGCTCCTGGGACCCCGCGCTGCACCGGCCCTGCGGGGTGCCCGGGCTTCTCAGTGGGGAGGGAGCTTTCCAAGGGATTGGACTCATTCGCTCAGGGCGCCAGGCTACCCCTGCTCTGTCCTTAGGTGTAGCCGCCAGGCTCCCAGGAGAAAGTTGGGAGCAGCAAAGGGCTTACCAGCAGGGCTGTGCTAGAGGCTTCTAGGACGGAAAGGACACCGGGTGGGGGTGCGAGTGGGGTTCCTCCCTGCGGCCAGAATAAAGAAGAAAAGACCACTAGACAATTTCTCACCAAATCCTAATCGCCTAATGCTCTCCCCAGACTTTTTCTATTATTCTTTATTTTAAAAATCTACTTTGAGGTTGCAGGTAGCATGCCTGTACGAGTAGCCCTTCAGAGGTGGCATGCATCTGCGACACACAGGCCCAGGCCCTGCAAGGAGTGAGGCTTGTCCCGTGGGGGGGGACCAAGCCTGACCCCTCTGGCCTTTCAGCTCTGGGTTCTGCTTCTCCCCTGTAACAGGGGCTGAGCCGGATGGAACTTAGAGCTCAGAGGAAGGAAAACATCAGGGAGAAGAGTTAGGAGAGGGAGGCAGCAATGGGGCTGAGCCTCACTGGGGTGCAGAGGGACTTGAACCCTACCCCCCACCCCCAGACAGGCGCCAGATGTCTTGCCTTTGAGGGGAGTGGGCAGCAGGCTTCCCTGGGGCATCTGGGCATCTTCTCCACCGTTGCGTTTCCCAGGAAGCTCAGGTTTGTCATTCTTCTCTTCCCTCTGTTCTCCTGCCATTTAGGGGGCTCTCCAGACCCCAGCCCTCCTCTTACACCTCAGCCCTTAAGTCTGATGTCTTCAGGCTCTGGGAGGGACTGCGGGGAGAAGGCAGGGGACGGGGGCACTCTGGCTTTCTTTCTGTCCCCAGAAGTGCTGCTGACACTCCACCCCCAGCCCCGTTAGGTGATATGGTGGAGACGCTGCATCCTCAGGATTCACTCCCCTTCCTTGCGGCTGATGGAGGAGGCCTGAGTACATAGGGGTAGTAGTAACTCCTTGCAGTTCTAGGGGGGTAGCACCTGCCCTCCCCAGGGAGCTCTGTGCTGTACAGACATTATTGATCTCCTTGAGGATGCTGACCCCTGAGTGTTTAAGCTGTTTACCTCAGTCCACACAACCGGCCAAGGGAGGATTCTGCTCTAGGGCCCCCTTTCTAACCCACTGGAAACAGGCTGTGGATTCGACCCTACAGCCTCTGCCTGGGGGTAGGCCTTGGTAACCGCTGTGACAGGCTTCTAGGGCCACAGCAGATTTTGACGTGGGAACGGGGAGCCCAGTGAGGAGAGAGGGATATCGTCGTTGTTTTGCCAGAAGACCAGCTCATGGAGAGCAGACAGGCTTGCCTCAGAGCCCTCCCTCTTTGATGGCATTCAGAGTCATTTCTTTTAAGCCACTGAGAAGGAGTGATTGCTACCACAGAATGGGAATGGGACTATTCCATGAGGACAGAGTTCAGGCAGTCAGAGCCGTGAGTGGAGCAGGTCATTTCTCTTCAGCCTCCCCACACTCCCAACTTGAGTCCTTGAGAAAAAGTGCAACGTTTTAGAGTCTTCAGTGGAGCAGAAATAAACTCAGTCAGTGCCTGGGTGTCTCTCTAGCAGTCCACTCTTCCCTAATTGAGTGTGTGGTTTTCATTCATTGGTTTTCTCTTATTGGTTCCTTCATTTCTACTCCATAATGCTATGCTCCCTCTGAGCAGGTGGCTAATGGGTCTGCTTAGGTTACAGGGTGATTTTAAATTTGGCCGGGTTCACTTCAACATGTAGCTAACTCTTTGTATGTCTTTCAAAGGCTTAGAATGAAGCTTCGATACTGTACCCCAAGGATGCTGGCAGGGACACTCTGACTCATTAAGGGAGAGCCAAGTGTCAACAAAGAGGGGAGACTTCAGCCTTGCAGACAATGCCCCCAGGAATTCCTAGCAGTGTTGCCCATAGCACCACCTGGCCAATGGAGATCACCACAGGGATCATGGATGAGAACACCACCAACACTTCCACCAACTCCTTTTCTGTGCTTGACCCCCACGGAGCCTACGCTGCTTCCTTCCCATTCAACTTCAGCTACGGCGACTATGATATGCCCTTGGATGAAGATGAGGATGTAACCAATTCCCGCACTTTCTTTGCTGCCAGGATTGTCATTGGCATGGCCCTGGTGGGCATCATGCTGGTCTGTGGCATCGGCAACTTCATCTTTATTGCTGCCCTGGCCCGCTACCGGAAGCTGCGCAACCTCACCAACCTGCTCATTGCCAACCTGGCCATCTCTGACTTCCTGGTGGCCATTGTCTGCTGCCCCTTTGAGATGGACTACTATGTGGTGCGCCAGCTCTCCTGGCAGCATGGCCACGTTCTGTGCACCTCTGTCAACTACCTGCGCACGGTCTCTCTCTACGTTTCCACCAATGCCCTGCTGGCCATTGCCATTGACAGGTGAGCACAGGGGCAGTAGGGGCAACAAAGGTGGCCAGGGAGGAAGGCATTGGAATTTCCTCTCTTTTACTGCAGCTGCAGATTGATGACAGGCATCGTGTTTGCATGGGGGACTTAAAGCAGTGACCGAATGGTGAGAAGAGCTCCACTTTTCCAGCTCTGGTCAGGCAGAGGCAGCAGAGACCCTGAGGGTTGGGTGGCCAGAGGCTTTTGATCACCTCCTTCCCCTCTGCTGTGGACATGCTCCTAGATGCTGTACCTATTCAAGGTCTAGCATAGACAGGCAAGAGGAGGTGTTGAGGGATAAGTTGAACTTCTAGGCAGTTACCTCTTGGTCAATTTGGAAAACTTGAAGGAAGTTTCTATCTTAGCAAGACTTTCTCTACCAAAATATGACCTCCTAGCACCAGGCGATTTCTAAATAAGATTGATGGATTTGTTTTGAAAAAAATGAAGCATATGCTTACTTACTTTTTATTGTTATTGCTGCATTCATCACTTTGCACCTTTTCATCCATTTGCATGCAATAGTGCAAAAGACTGTGTCTAGTTGATGGTAAATACAGCCTTTGCATATCTTTTTTAAATTTAGTCTTTTCATTTAATATAAACTTCTGCTAATGGGCCAGAGTGGTCTCTTTTCCCTGGGGGGGCAGTCTTTGCAAGCTCCTCTGCCCACAGTTGGACAGTCATTACAAAGCACCTTGTTACAGTCTAGAAGCAGTTACCCTAAGGGTCAAAGCAGGCCTCCTTGTACTTGAGTCTGAACAGCTCGTCTCCTCTCTTCCTTAATCCAGAGAGCCTGAAGCACACATGCTCTCCCTGTTCCACGGCCTCGGGGCTCAGGGGTGGGGGTTGACCTGGCCCTCACAGTCAGGGCACCCAAGGGCAGTGTTCCAGGGAGGAGCACAGCTAGTACCATGTTTCCCCGAAAATAAGACAGGGTCTTATATTTATTTTTCCTCAAGAAGACACCCCAGGGCTTATTTCAGGGGATATGTTATTTTTTTTTTAAGTATGGTACAACAATCTACATTTATTCAAATATAAGTAAGTCATCTTCTTCTGGAACATCATCATAACTCTCCAAACCCCAAATTCCGTCCTGAATTTCTTGCAACTCTATTTCCTTTAGAACCATTGGCCCCAATCTCTCATGTTGAGCAATGGAACTCTCATGGGATAGATGAGAAGGGCAGCTTGTCTTCTTTACTGCTCGGTGTTGAAATGTGTGGGTTGTGCAGAAATGCTGCGTAGCCGCGCGCATCACTAGGTCTTATTTTGGGGGTAGGGCTTATATTGCACAAATGCTTAGAAATCCTGCTAGGGCTTATTTTATGGGTAGGTCTTATTTTTGGGGAAACATGGTGGTGTGTGTTTTCTGAAGCCATAGACAGGGCAGGCAGGGCTAGGATGACCTGGACAAGGATAACTTGAGGAAAGGGATCACTAAGGAGTCTGTCTTTAAAACCACTCAGGAGTGGAGCCTCGGTCTCCTTTCTCCTAGGCACCTAAACCAAGGAAGAATGTCAAGGAGTTAGCAGCTTAAACAGCCCTTGGCCTGCCAGCGTGCTCAGCGGTAGCATCTTTGCAGACGGCTACTACTACTTGACCAGGGTTCTCCACCTGAGTTGTGGAGCACCACGGCATTTTGTTCAGCTAGGCAAGGACCCTGCTACAGAAGGAGCAGGAGGGAGACAGTCAAGCAGAATACTGTCTCCCAGGTTCCCTTCAGAGCTGCCAAGGAACAGCTCCAGAGACTTTGTCTCTGAACTTTTCTGAAAATGGAAAGTGCCACCTTCTCTCTTAGCACATGAACAGGGCAAAGCATCGGGGGTCATTTCCTGAATTGTCTTGCCAGCAAGACAAAAAACTTTTCCTATGGGGTGCTGTCAGCTACTGAAAGTGGGGTAGGTGGGTGCCTGCTGTGGAGTGGGACCCCGCTCCCTGGGTGGGACCCATTTTACCATGTAGGGGTGCACTTGCTGAAAGGGGTGACAACTGTTGGAAGGAGCAGCTTCAAGGGGGAAAAAGCCAGGACAAACTCAGGGGCATTGGGTTATTCTGCACATGTAAGAGGTAATATTTATGTCAATCAATCCACTTCGATTTACTAAACTCCTTCAAGCTCATATCCTGCTTTCATACCAAACTCAGCTTGTCTGAAATACTGTAGGCATTTCCCTTGCAGCATGACTCGACACAATGAAAACTACATACAATTAGAAAGATGAATGAGGGAGCGTGCTTTCATTGTGGGGACTGTTATTGATTAGAGTGGGGTTGTGACTGAAAACTTGCACCCCGATGTTAGAGAAAAGCACTGTGTACCTGCACTGGGCCACCCAGTTGTCACAGAGGGGACAAGTGCTGAATTGTGGGTAGCACGGTAGTCTTGGCTGACTAACTGGCTGCTCCAATGCATGAAGTTCTTTATTGATGTTTGTGATCTTTGTTTCACATTATTTTTATGTGTCGTGAACATCTAATTTCAATTTTGTGGTCTAGGAATTCATTGATTTTTGTCTGCTTCATTTATTGTTGAGGATTTCATCACTGATTTTCAGGTTAGTTTTGGGCAACTAATTTTTATCTTGGTATAACAAATACACATACAGTTGTAAAAATGCTTTTATTTAATGAATTTCTGCAGAAATAGGTTTAGCAGTTATTCTTTCTGAGTTTAAATTGATGCTGTACCACCTAATAGCTGTACGGCCTTATGTTAGTTATTCGACCTTTCTCTGCCTCAGTTTTCTCATCTGTCAAAATGGGGATAATAAAAAAAAACCTAATGTTGTATTGGGTTGCTTTGCATTTCACTTTGTGAGTGAAATAATATATGTAGCTGCTTATAACAATGTTTAAATCAGAGTAAGCACTCACAGTGGATATTATAATTCTTAAATTAACCCTTGTAGAAACAACTACAACAAAAAAGATAAACTAAGGCATATTTCTGATCCACTAACCTCTTTTCATTGAAGTGATTGTTTTTATGATGTGATTTAAAAACATGAATACAAGGTTTCTAAGAAAGAGCTGAATAGAACTATTTATCCTCTATCTGCTTAGATTTCCATTCATATTATTGTTCTTCCAGGCACTTAAACTGGAAAGTCTTTTTTGTCCCAGTTGCTCTCTCCTCCTCACCAGCATTTATTCGATTTCTAGGTCCAGGCAATATCCACCTTCTTCCCTCAATGCTGGACTATCCTAGTCTCCCCTTGGTCTTCCTACCTTCAGTGTCTCTTTGCTCTGCCCACCTGTCAGCCTACTCCCCTCACAGTCCATTCCCAAATGCCATTCATTCATCCAGGCATTCATTCAAATCATGCATTTTTATAGAGTGACTGTGATGTGACAGATACTATTCCAAACACCAGGGACATGACAAGACAAAAAAGCTCCTTGTCCCCATGGAGCTTATACTCAGAGGATGGAAGAGAGATAACAATCAGGCAAGCTAAAAAGGAAGGTAATTTCAGAAGCGAGAAATACCCTGAACAAAAACAAACACACATGGAAACATCTAGCGACTGAGGTGGGACCTACTCCAGGTGAGCAGTCAGTAGAAGTGCCTCTGAGAAGATGTTTGACCAACCAATGCACTGGGAGAGGGAGAAAGCCTGCCTTGTGCAGACTGGGAGGAGGCCTTCCAGACGAAGGGAATTATGAGTGCAAAAGCCCCAAGGCAGGAACAAACCTGATAGGTTCTAGGAACACAGAGAAGGCCCCTGTGGCCTGAGGGAAATAAGGAAGGCTACTGCTGGATTAATCTCATGCCTTGTACACGTCTCACCTCTCTTACTAAAAGACCACTGGAACTCCATTGTCCACAAAGTCTGGTCAAACCCCTTTGCCTGTTCTTCCAACCTTTTATTCTCTAGCCCCAGACTGCCTCCCAGTCTCATGCTGGGTAAATGTATTTATGTCTTTTTTTGCAAAAAAATGTTGTGATCTTTTTGAGAACTGTCACCCTGGCTTTTTAGTTTCTATTCACCCAGTGCCAGGCATTAGATGAGGGTGAAGTTTCATTAAAATCCTCGTAGGTGCCCAGAATTCGCAGACAGCCAAAGTTTATAAAAGAAGACACGATCGCTGCTCTGGGGGAGCTTACTGTCTAGAGTGGGGCGTGGGGGAGAACTACCACGTATGAAATGGTTACAGAATAAGTAAAGGATAAATTCGAGGTAGAATTTAGTGAAGAGCAAGTTTGTTGTGTACTAGAGCAGTCATAAGAGGCTTTTTGGAAGAGGTGGACTTTTAACTGGCTATCAACAAATAAGCATCAGCAAAGGAGAGGAACGTTTTTCCAAGAGGATAGAAGAGTGTTTGCAAAAGTCTAGAGGTAGGAGTGCCTGAGTGAGTATGAGGTACCTTGGAGAGGTATGTCAGGCAGGGGCAAGAAACATAAGGAGAGTAGAGATCAGGAAGGACAGGGCCATATTCCAGGGGATCTCAAGACCTAGGCCAAGACAGTCAGAGCTGATGGCAGAAGGGAGCAGAAAAAGATCTTGAGAGAACTCTCTCCTGCTCCCTTGCTTTCCACTGGCTGGGCTTTCTCTTTGATATGGAGACCCCAGTACTGTCCTTGAGGTATATCCCTCAGATCCCACAACACGTGGGGCACTAGGGAACCCACCCTTCTGTTACCAGCCCGTCTGTGTACCCACTGGAAAGCCCTCTGCTTCTGTCTTGATGAGGCCAACCAAGGCTTGCGTACCCTCACCCAACCTTAGGAAGCACCAGCACCCCTGGTGAGTTCATTGGTCAGGGCAGGCTGGCTGGCCCAAGGAGCAGGTTGTGCATTCTGTGCCCATCCCAAAACCAGCCTACTAGCTCCTAGAACGGCTGTTGCCATAATTAGATGTGGGGCTGCGTCCTGGGGACAGAGAGGGAGCCCAAATGCTCTTTGCTTGATCACCCAGCCCACTATTATCACACAGTCATTGCCTGGGCCTGGACATGGCTTTGTCCAGCAGCCTTTATTCTTTGTTGCCTGGGAACTATTGGCTCTAGATTAATCTGGACCTAAGCCACTGCAGTGGCAGACACACAGGGCAAGCCAAAGGCATACTCATAAACAAAGAAAAGTAGCTGCCAATTGTCTGACCCCTTCTTGGAACATCCACAGGTAGAAACCAACTGTGATGGAGAGGAAAGTGGGGACGGGCTGCTGGGACGCCAGGAAGACAGGAGGAAGGGGCATTGCTGGAAAGGGAGGGGGCAAATAGCACTATTGGGGAGGCCACTGGATTTGCAAGAAGATATGTGTCTGAATCATGGTTCTGTCCGTTTCTAGCTGAGTGGCTTTTGGCAGGTTATTCAACTTCTCCAGGCCTCAGTTTACTCACCTGTAATGTGAGCATCTTTGCTCTCACCTATTTAATAAGGTTGGGATTACCTAGTGAAAAAGTGGATTTGAAAATGCTCTGTAAATTGTAAACTTCTTTACAAACATAAGCAAGCATTACTAATACTGTAGTTATGGAGTTCTGATCCTAGCCTAGCCAAGGCTCATGGAAAAGCCTTGAAACAGTTTTCTGCAGTTTGCCTATTGGTAAATGTATCTATCAGGAAGGCCTCTTGCACAGCTCCTGGCACTAACCTGGGGGGGGGGGGCTGCAGTGTGGTGATGTCAGCGAGCCAGGATGAAAAAACTGATGGGCTGTCACATCTTACCCGGAAGATTAGTTTTGATGTGAAGAGTTGAATCCAATGAAATAGAACGTAGGAGAGAACTTGCAAATACAGTTTTTACCAAAAACAGGTAAGGGAAAATTGTGGTATATACAGAATAACTTCGAAAAAAAAAATAAAAGACATTTAAAGATACTAATAGTTTCCTGTATATTAATAGCTTGCCCTTATTTATATGCAGTGTCTCAGTGCATCCTCATAGTATTTATGTGATGTTCCCATTTTACAGAAATTAAAACCTGCAGGGCTAAGAAAAATGACTCCGATTCACAGAGCAGACTTGTGACAAAGCTGGGATTAGATTGTTGGTCTTCTGAGTCCTGGGTTGGTATTCTCTCCCACACAGTCCTTGAAAACACATTCTGAGTTTGAAACAACATAAAGGTTTAAGAAGTCAGTATTGAAAAAAGAAGAAATAGAATGATATAGTGAAAACTCATATAGTGAACACATATGAACATGGAAATTTTCTTAGAGGAATGAGCTGAACGTGGTAGAGTAGACAGACAGCGAGCGAGCTGGTGAGAGCAGAAGCTCTAAACTCTTAGTTTTTGTTGTGAGTGAGAGCAAGTTTGACGCCCTGGTTACATGAGGAGCACCTTGGTCTTTGTGAAGGGCCCACACCTGTGCACAGACAGCAGCACTGTCAACACCCTGAAGACATTCTCCTTTTACCCGTAGGCACTTGGCACTTGAGAGATTGGCTAGAGTGCCAGGAATGGTGGCCAGCTGGGTGTCCAGAGGGTGGACACAACCCATCCCACTTCTTCCAACATCTTCTGGGAGCTAGAAGAGAGCGAGAGTCCCACCCTAGCGAACTCCTCAATGTGTCCCGCTGCCTCTGCTGTGGGGGAGGGGAGGAAATAGTAGAAATACAAAAAAGTGAAAGAAACAAACAAACAAACAAAAGAATGAACCTCTGCTCAAATCACAACCCCAAGAAAGATGCCCTGACAGGGACTGGTTTCAAAGGAAACAGAACTGGTTTGGCTTTCCTTCGGGCCCCTGTCTCCTTTGCCCTTGGTCCTACCCGGGATGAGCCGTGGACACGAGAGAATGTGTCTGTTTCCAGTGTTGACTAGCCCTTCCCTCCCACTTCACTTCCCACCTTTCCCTTTTCCAACTTCCATCTCCTGCCAGCCACAGAATGTCTTCCAGGAAACCGGAGCTGTCTGCGTAAGTCTGTGCACTCTCTCTGGGAAGGATGCTATCAGCTCTGGAACCGCACCATGACTCATATCTCCCAGAAAGTGCTCTCTCTTCACTCCTGTGCCACTGCGGTCAACAGCAGTGTGGGTTTTTTTTTTTTTCTTTTCCTTTGGAAAGCGCAAAAGCAGTATCTTTTACTGTCTGGTGCTTTGTGGTTAAAAAAAAATACATTTATGTATATTTTCAATTGATTTTCACATCAACCCTGTGAGGTAGGGTTAAATGTTTTCTGTCAAGGGTCCTGTGGTAGATGACCTTGAGAAAGTCACTCATCTCTCACTGGCTTCCGTCTCTCCACCTGGAAAATGAGATGAATGGTCACATGCTTTTCCTCCACCTTTGCATGCACATCCATACACATTTTTAAAATGTGGAATGAAGAAAAACTTTGCCCACTCCTCCCATTGGAAAGGGCAGATTCTCCCAACAGCTCTTTGGAATGATCCCAACAACTCTTTTAGCTCTAAACTGTGAAGTAATTAGAACAAATGCCCTGAGAACAGGATGGAGCTGGGAACTGTGCCAGGCTAGAAACGGATGGGGGGTATCACCACATTTAATAATAATTGTTACGGTGTTTTGAGTGCATACTAGGTTTAACGCTGTGCCAGGAATGTGGATGCATTACCACAATGAATCTTTAAAAGCAAACAAACTTTTGCAGATAAGGAAACTGAGGCTGGGAGGGGCTAAGCAAAACTTGCGTGGCGTTTCCCAGCCGGGTGGCGGTGGAGGTGGGGCTGGGGTTTGCGGCCAAGCCCGCCTCTCGCGGAAGCCCGCCCGCCGCGGGGCCCACGCACCACCCAGCCGCGCCTCCCAGCCTGGCGCAACGGTGACCCCCGCGCTCCCTCCTAACGGCGGCTGCCTCCCCTTGTGTTCCCGCCCAGGTATCTGGCCATCGTCCACCCGCTGCGACCGCGGATGAAGTGTCAGACGGCCAGCGGCCTGATCGCCTTGGTGTGGGCCGTGTCCATCCTCATCGCCATCCCCTCCGCCTACTTCACCACCGAGACGGTCCTCGTCATCGTCAAGAGCCAGGAGAAGATCTTCTGCGGCCAGATCTGGCCCGTGGACCAGCAGCTCTACTACAGGTCCTACTTCCTCTTCATCGTGGGCGTGGAGTTCGTGGGCCCGGTGGTCACCATGGCCCTGTGCTACGCCAGGATCTCCCGGGAGCTGTGGTTCAAGGCGGTGCCCGGCTTCCAGACGGAGCAGATCCGCAAGCGGCTGCGCTGCCGCAGGAAGACGGTGCTGGTGCTCGTGGGCGTCCTCAGCGCCTACGTGCTGTGCTGGGCGCCCTTCTACGGCTTCACCGTCGTGCGCGACTTCTTCCCCGCCGTGTTCGTGAAGGAGAAGCACTACCTGACCGCCTTCTACGTCGTGGAGTGCATCGCCATGAGCAACAGCATGATCAACACGCTGTGCTTCGTCACCGTCAAGAACAACACCATCAAGTACTTCAAGAAGATCCTGCTGCTCCACTGGAAGGCCTCGTACAACGGCGGCAAGTCCAGCGCGGACCTGGATCTCAAAACCACCGGGGTGCCTGCCACGGAAGAGGTGGACTGCATCAGGCTGAAATAACCCCACGGACCCTGCCAAGTTTAAACACAAGGCAGGATCTCTGGGACACGGACCCGTGTGCTTGGATCAACCAAGAGCTCCTGGCTTGCTGGGGTGGGGTAAACGCAGAGGGTGCGGTAAATGGACGGCTCTGTGAAAACTGTTTAAGGGGCACCATGAGACTAGACACTGTCACCAGTGGCCAGAGTTCACTGAGTGTCTAATTTATGCACCACTAGGCACAGGTGAAACCTGTCTGTATATGTTGATGACATTTAGTTGGCAAAATGAAACAGGAATCAAACCAAAGAAAGTGTTGTGGTACAGACAGTTGGGAATAAGGGGGCTTCGAGAAAGAAACAAGAGTAAGCATGTAGGACTGCAGTGCATTTGTTACTAGTGTGAGGGTGTCTCTGGACCAACTCAGCGACCCCTCAGGCACTAAGGTAGCCCATCTCTGGGAATGTTCTTAGGCCTGAGTTCACTCCTAACCTCTGAAAGGCAGGGGCAGGAATACAGAAGAGACTCCCAGCTCTTTCCGCAGCCCTTCTCTTCTCATCCCTGCTTCTGACCCTCACCGCGAGGCACCTTGCAGGCATGCACATAGACACCCAGCACCCATGGCCAAGTGCTGTGCAGAGTTTTTCCCCCACGCTGCGCTGTGGCCACTCCTCAGGCCTGAGGCTCTGCACATACATGGTGAGGCTCATCTTCAGAAGCATGGACTTGGAGAAGCCACACAGACAGTGGATGCCATTTGGACAGGGAATTGTGGGGTCTTGGGACCTGGAGCAAGTCTGGAAAGGAAAGCCTGAGCTCAGGGTGGGCATGTCCCCTTGGTTCCATGGACTTTTTGCCCCTGGGGGGAAGGGATGTACAGGTGGAAGAAGTCAACATAGGATCTCTAGAAGCCTGTGGGGCTGTGGGTAGGGGCTGAGGCTCTCCAGGTGTAAGGATTTTTTTCTGTCTTGGGCCAATTAGGCTTCCCCTAAGTCCTTACTTTCCTTCTCACATCTCCATGTTTATGATGCATAGAATCTTTCAAAGTAGACACAACACCTCATGGATGTGGACATCAGTCATTTTTCCATTTCTACCAGCTCTCAAATGTGAGCGAGGAGGAGTTCCCTGCTAACCAGACAGCCCTCACTGGTATGATTCGAGGGCAAGATACCTTTGTCACTTGTGCCTGAATCCCATCCTGGTCATTATTCACTTGGATAAAGCCTTACTTCTTTTTTGAAATGGAGGTACTGCTGGGTGAGAAAAGCCACCACATTTCTACTCCTCAGTGTGAATGAAACCATGCGATTCCATGGCAAGGAATGCAAATCAGATGCATCTACCAGGGGATGGGAGAGCCCTGGGCACCCAGGAAAGAAGGGGGCATACAAATGGGTGGCGTTGGACCCAACAGTGAGTCCACAGGCTTATTGAAGTCTCATCCCACTTTCCAACCTGCTTTCTGTGGTGTTTTGAAGCTTGCAAGTTAGTATTTTGGAACTAGAAGATCACCCGTGTGGCCCTAGGCAAAACCTCTTTGATAGGACAAAGGCAACACCTGTGATACCTACTGACAGAATGGTTGTGAGGTGCCAACAAAACATGTGGGGGAATGCTGTCAACCACACGAGCAGTCAGAAGAATGGATCAGCGACTGCATGGAGTGGCCAGAAACCTTGCCATCTCCCTCTTTTATTATTCTTTGTGTAAATTGTACCTTTGCCCTTCTTAGCAGGACTATATGCGTTATGTTCCCAAATGACATGTTGGTATGACAATCAAGGCCAGGAGATTTGATGGCAGAAGCATAAAGAAAATGGAGGGTGGGTCTCCAGTCAAAGGATAAGTTCAGGGTTTTGGAAACTCCAGAATCAGAGCTTTGCTGTGATCATGGAAGTATTGGTCGTCTTCCTATGCCTGCCCCCAGTCAGCATGACCCCGGACAAGACGATAGTTGTCTCTCAATTTGTTTTTATTCTCGTGAGTGTGTAGAGCTACAAAGTGGACTTGTTCTTTTCTTCTTATTTAATTCTAGAGTAGCACACTTTAAGGCTATTTAAGTGACATCTGTGTGGCCTTTCCACCTCCAAATATAGTTGACTCTTTATTTCTGGTGGCAAAGTTTATTTTTTATAGCCACTCTATTTCCCTGGAACACACATTTCAAAGACTATTTATTTCTTCCCATGTATCACCAACAGATGTACTCTACAGTTTGGTCAGAATGTTCTCAGAGAATAAGAACTAATTGAAATATTAGCCTAGATGCATTGGAAAGTAATTTTTATTTCTTTTATAAACTCATATATTGTGTTCTAAAATCTAGAAAGTTAAATTTTAGATTGAAATATAATAAAATGATAGAATACATTGTTGTTATGTTCACCATTTTCATCAGGAATGCTAAGCTGGAGATGACTATTAAATAGGGGATTTTTACATGCTACAACCAAACTCCTTTAGCTTTTCAGCCTAAAATTGTATCAGTTTTTCACTCAACTCTCTGTAATATTTTGAAGTATTAGTATCTGCTCGTGATTTTGTAGTAAGTGAAAGTATTATGTTGTTACCTAGTGAAATAAAAATACATGTATATCTATAAAATCGCTGAGCATGGTGTTCCTGTAATTTCCACCCTTCCTCATATTTTTCCTAGTTATAATTTGATGGTTCTTTGTGTGAACACTGAGTAGATTCCATGGTCATATGAATTGTGAGAAGAGTGATAACTCATGCTCTTACTGCCTGCAAACTTCCCCTCCCATCCTAAAGAGATTTAACTGATTTATATATTCTCTTCCTATAAGTCTGCTGTGGTAAAACCATTAATACTTTTTAGCATCTGCATGCCAAGACTTTGAATCTGAGGACTCATTTGTTTATGCCTTTTACATAAGCTAAGGCTAAACCTTTGAATAGGCTTAAGAGCCACACGTGCATAGTGAGCAAGAGACAAATCTACGATATACACACCATGTTCAGACTCATTGAATTGGCTGCCTAGCTGATGGTTTTCCCCAAAACTGGTGGTAAAGCCCAAAAAGGTGATACTTGTGCTTAAGTGTCTCTTTTCTGTTTTCTACATACTTCCAATGTGCACATTGATTTATACAGAAGGATAAAGACATATTTTTTAAAAGCAAACTGTTTCTGTAACTACAGTATAAGGGCAGATTTATAATAGTAACACTCTTGGAGATTTTGCCTGCTGGGTCCACATTAAAAAAATAATTTCTTAAATCAAAGGCACTAAAACAAGGCAATGTGGTGATCACCACAGCAAGCCCTGAAGCATGAAATGAGTTCCATGCTTATTATGGGAAAGAATGCCAAAGAATTTGTGAGATGACCAGAAAATTATGAGTCCTGTTTCTTGAAAAATATGGTAAGTTTTGGAATATATCCACTAAGACTGAGTCCAGTTCTCCTTCCTAGAGTGTAAGTGAGAATATCAAATTCAAGACATTCATTTTACGGTTGATGAAACTGAAGTCCAGAATGAGGAAAAGATATGTTCAAGGGCACACAGCTGGTCGCTATGAGAGCCAAGGTTAAACCCCAAAGCTCTGAATCTTAGTTCAGGGCTCTCCTGCTACAGCATTCCTGGGTGCAGGGAGCATCAGAATCTTGGGAAAGGGAGGATCTTTTCCAAGAATCCTTGAGGTGACTGTTCAACCTCAGTCTGGCCTTCCCTGGAGACCTTTAATAAGTTTAGCAGAGACATTCTTGGTTCCTTTGCAAGCCAAGTTTAGCTCATTCTACCCCTGGAAATTCACAGCACAGACAAGGAGGCCAGGAGGTTTTAGGGAGGAATTGCTAAAAAATGTTTACAGATTCTCTTTCTTTACCTTATATCCTTGGGGGTGAACCTAGGAATGTAGAAGGAAAGACAATAGGCCCCTTCTCATGAGAACAGCTGCCTTGCCCTAGGAAAGCAGAGGGGAGAGAGAAAGAAGCCGTGCTTGGCAGAATGTCCAGACTGGTGGGCAGGCCCTGTGTGCTTGGAGTTGAGTGGCATCAGAGGGCCACCTCCTGCCTCTGCCAATGAGGATAAGTGAAGTTGGGGGAGGCCTTTTAGATGAGGTGGGACTTGAACTGGGCAAGTAGGGTGCACAGAAGCAAAAGGATGAGTATTTTGCCTAGGAAGAGAAACATTTATTTGCCCCTGGAGACTGAAATTGCCTTTTACTAGAGGCAAGTACTTCTCACATAGTGATGGGATTGTCATCCCTGGAAAAGGTAGCCAAAAACCTGAAAACACACAGAAACATAAGCAAGGAATATCAGAGCCTTATTGAGAGTAGGTTTTGATGGGGGAATGAGGGCAAGGAAAGAAACTGGCCTAAGAAAGCAGGTGTCTGTGTATGGGGTGATGGAGGCATCTCATAATTAGGGAAAAAATAAAAGAAAAGAAAAGCTGCAAAGGATAGTTGTTGAAATCAAGTGTGGCTGACTTTAAAAAGTGAGGGCAATGTGTTGAGCTAAGCTGAGTATGTTACAGGAATTTTCTCTCTCAGTCCTCATACCCAGGCAGGGCCAAGTGTCACTCTGTTTTACAGATGGGGAAACAGAGACTCAACTCACAGAAGTTGCCCAAGGTCACATAAGTAGTGAATGGTGTGCTGAGAAGTGAAGCCAAGCAGTTAGATGACAGAGCTCGTGCTGCTGCCTTTAAATGTTGTTTCTAGACCTTTCTTGGGCTTTCCTGTAACCCAAATAAATTCCTTTCTCCTTAAGTCCAATCATTAAGTCATAAATCATCTCCTAAATTAACCAGATTTTCTTTAAAAGTGAGAATAACATAACTCTAATCTTTATTCTTCCTTCTCTGAGAAGTTTGAGTCACTCTAAACAGCTGACCTGAATCTGTATTCTGCCCTTTATCTTTGAGTGCCTTGGCTACTTTGGGCATCCAGTGAAGTTTACAGCCTCTGTTCAAAATAATGCTATCAAATTTATTCAATAAAATACGTAGGAATACAAAAGAAATCAGTTATGTTAAAATGCAGTTATCAGCTATTTTAAGTTTGTGGTTAAGTATGATTATGTAAATATTTATATTTCATTTCTTCTTATTCAGTCTTTATCTTACGTCTTAACAAGATTCAGCATCAGGACTATGTGTGTGTGTGTGTGTGTGTGTGTGTGTGTGTGTGTGTGTGTGTAGTTATTACCACCATAATTTTCATGTAGCGATGAATGTTAATGATACTTTGAGATCTCTCCCCAAACTGCAATGAGATGTAAAATATCTGTGATTTCCCTCAGCAACAGTCTCAGGAACTGCTAACACTAGTGTGGTTTCTCGCCTGCTTTCTAATGGCAGGAAATGCTAGAGTTCAGGTACAGTTTAGTAGAATAACAATGAATTTTTTTTCCATCCAAGTTCACAGCCCCTTGAGCTGGTTAAGAACACCCGCCCCAGGGGGAGGCCTAAACAAGCACACTGGAGTGAGCACTGGTGGAAATGGAGATGGCAGGATGGAAGGGGCCCACCACGTTTAAATGGAGTTAAATCAATAGCTCTTCTACGGACACCTTTCTTGTAAAGATGCCTCAGTAGGCATTATGGTTCACCAACTTTCTCTATGCCTTCTCAGCGGCCCCAGTTCTGAACTAGATGGCAAAGATTCATCGGAGAACGTCAGATAAAGTTTCTCCTTATTATCTAGAGTTCCAGGACTATTTCACACACATTATTTAAGATGGTGGTCCAACCCCTGGGCAATGGATCTGTACCGGTGAGTGGCCTATTAGGATCTGGCCCACACAGCAGGAGGTGAGCGGTGGGCAAGCGAGCAAAGCTTCATCTGTATTTACAGCCACTCCCCATCCCTCACATCACTGCCTGTTCTCTGCCTCCTCTCAGGTCAGTGGCAGCATTAGATTGTCATAGCAGTGCGAATCCTACTGTAAACTGCGCTCGAGGGATCCAGGTTGCTCCTTATGAGAATCGAATGCCTGATGATCTGAGGTGGAGCTGAGGCAGTGATGCTAGTGCTGGGGAGTGGCTGCACATACAGATTATTATTAGCAGAGAGGTTTGACTGCAGAGACCATAATAAATGAATTGCAGACTCCTATCAAAACCCTATCAGTGAGTGGCAAGTGGCAATTAAGCTGCATCTAGTGGCAGGCGCTATAGTGGCAAGTGAGCATCTTACTTCAATTGTACAGCTGCATCTGGTGGCAGGTTTTAAGTCAGAATCCAGCACTTACTTTAGTCCACATGTGGCCCACCCGTTATTTTATTTACCACTTCCGTCTGTGCTGCATTCCCACAATGCACACTTTTCTCAGTCTCAGTTTGGGTAAGACCACAAGCTAACCCTAGCAAAAATGAGTAAAAAACAAATGTCGCTGGAGAGCTTCTTTGAAAAGGGAGAAAGACCCAATGATGAGAAAGCAGAAGACTTTAAGACTGACAGCAAAATGAAAGTCGCATTTAAAAGAAAATACCAAGAATCCTATTTAAATTATGGGTTCATTGCAACAGGCAATTCATATTCTCCAAGCCCGCTTTGTATAATATGTGGCAACTGGCTATCCAACGAAGCCATGAAAGCTTCAAAACCCTTTACCACATGGAGTCCAAGCACCCTGCATTAGAAGACAACCCGTTGGAAGTTTCTCAAAAGAAAAAAAATGTGAACATGAAGAACAGAAGCAATTATTGAAGGCCACCGCTTCGTCAAATGTGTCTGCACTGAGAGCATCATTCTTAGTGGCTAACCACATTGCTGCAGCTAAGAAGCCCCTTAGTATTGGTGAAGAGTTGGTCCTGCCTGCTGCTAAGGACATTTGCCATGAACTTTTAGGATAGGCTGCAGTTCAAAATGTGACACATGTTCCTCTTTTGGCTAGCACTGTAACTAGAAGCACTGATGAAATAGCAGAGGATATTGTTAGAGAGGATTAATGAGTCACCATGGTACACAATCCGGGTTGACAAGTCTACCAACGTTGACAACAAGGCAACAATACTTGTTTTTGTGCAATATATTTTTCAGGATTATGTGCATGAGGGTTTGTTATGTGAACTTTTATTGCCAACCAACACCACAGCTGAAGAACTATTCAAGTCTTTGAATGATTACATATCAGGACAACTGAATTGGTCATTTTGTGTCAGTATATGCACAAATACAGTGGCTGCCATGACTGGATGGCTTTTTGGTTTCACTACTCAAGTCAAGGAGGTCACTTTCGAATGTGAATTTATGCACTATGGCATCCGTAGAGGAATGCTGGCTAGCTGAAAAATGCCACCTGAACTGGACAACATTTTGCAAGATGTGATTAAAATTATCAACCCCCATTAAAGTGCATGCCCTTCATGAAGCTCGGTGAGGAGATGGACACAGAGCACACATGTCATCTCTTATACACAGAAGTGAGATGGCTTTCTAAAGGTCGATCACTGGCCAGAGATTTTGAGTTACTAGAGCTAGAGTTACTTTTGAGTTACTAGAGCAGCTCCAGAGATTTCTTTTAGAAAAAAAGCCACCACTGGCAGCACATTTCAGTGA